AACACAATTCACTGATCTAGATTTTTGGAAAGCGTATCATAATGTCACATTTTTTTAATTTAGTCTATGACCCATTTATTTCAGCTATTTTGAAATCTATTTTTTAATTTCTTCAGCTTGCAACAGATTAAAGTCTCCCTATACACAAGTTTATTATCCATCTTGTTTTATTTTATTCTCTTTTCCAAGCTTATTCCACTATTCCATTGGTCAAAACACTTTTTTTCCTTGTTGTAATTTGTTTGAAATTTTCTTTTGTTCATCTGTGTTACAATCCCTGTGTTATTCTGAGTTTTAACACTGATAAGGACGAAAGTTAATCCTTACAAAAACGAAAACTACTGTATGTGTTTTTCGCAATATTTGAGCTTTTTTTTCATTTTAATTAATAAAACTAATGCACGCGCAGTAAGAAAAGTAATTTTCTTCGTCTCAATCTTTAATTTTTTTTTCCATTAATGTTGTGTTATCCAATCATCATCGAATAAAGATGAGGTTGAGATCTGTAGTAATATATTTAGTCTATAGAATTTGAAACCAACTAAAATTGTTTTTAGATGTTTTAGAAATGTAGATAAAAGTAGTTCATTATAATTAATTTATTATTTTTTTAACAATTTTTCCCTTTTAAAATTTAAAATTTTATTGAGTTATGGATTTTTTAAGGTTTTTAAAAATTTCATGAAGTAAATAAAAACGTTTCTGAAACTTTATGTATCGTTTTTGCAAAATCTAAGAATATTAAATATCATATTATTTAGGATGTCGGAAGCATTATATTTTGTGAAAAGATAGCTGCTGAAAAGAATGACATAAATCATATTACAAAATTTTGAGTGATAAAGAAAAAAGCTAAAATTCCTAAAATGGTATTAAACCGTCAATGACGTAAAAAAATGACTATCAATGATAGATATTTATTGAGTAAGTAATTCCCTCTATATTTTAGTTACAGGTGTGATAAAAATTTTAAACAAATTATAGGTCCACTTTAATTTGCTTAAAATATGTGTTTTTTTTTATTTTATTAAATTATTTTCTTTTTTATTTGAATTAGTTAAAATATGTCGAAAATTTGTGCCTATAAATTTTATTTAACTATTAAATGGTCACATATTTAGCTTGTAGTGATAGGGAAAAGAATGACACTTATATCGTAGTACGGCTAGAGTTCCTGTTGAAATTTAAACTCTCTAGTTAGTGGGGCAGCTATTGAAACATAAATTGACAAAATATTATGCTTATACAGCAGTCAGGGAACGTTTAAAATTTAAATTGTAACCCAGCATGATTGAAATTTAAGTAAGCTAGATAGTTCGAAAAGTGGTTGAAACCTAGATTAGCGGGTAATTTTGATTATAGCAGTCAAGAAATGATTGAAGTTTATATTATAATAAGGCATACAGTTGAATTTGAATTTAAAGCTCTCTAGCTAGTTTGAGAAAGGCAAATCTATTGACTACTCTTAATGGTAAGTAAATGATGAAGTTTGTATTATAATCTGGCATGAAGCTCTAGTTGAAATTTAATGCTTAAAGCACTGATTGGCAACGAATTCAAGTACGAAGATTATTGAAACTCGTATTAAAATCTAGCACAGAAGTCCGGCTGGAAATAATCTATTTCTAGCTAGTCGGAAAAATAGGTAGGGGAATTATTCTGCCTCTAGTAGCCAGAAAACGATTGAAGCTTATAATACTATCAGGCACAAAGTTCCAGTTGAAATTTTAAAATTTTAGCACTCTAACTTGTCGGAGAGAGGTTGAAATAGTGATTAGTGAACTATTCTGCCTACAGGAGCTAGTAAACGTTTAAAGTTTGTATTGTAATCGGTTAAAAGTTAAGCTCCTGTTAAAATTAAATAGCCACTGTAAAAAGTATCGATCAGTTACTGTTAAAATTTAAACATGCTAGCTACTTAGTGGTAAATTGATTCGCAAAGATTCTTTCTTTTAAATTTTAGGATTTATTGAAGTTTGTACAGTAATCTCGTATAGAGCTCGAGTTGAAATGTAAACACTCTAGCTAGTCGGAAATAGATTGTTGGCAAGCGCTTAAAACATTTATTGGCAATAAATGATTGAAATTCATATTGTAATATGGCAAGGAGATCCGGTTGAAATGTACGCAATTTAATTATTCGGAAAGAGCTTTAAAACTTCATGGGCCAAAAATATTGCTTGTATGGTCAGGAAAAGATTGAAATTTGTATTATAATCTGGTGCAGAGCGTCACATTAAACTTTCTAGCTGGGCGAGAAATTGTTCCACACTGCAGCAAAAAGCCCTACTTTTAGAGGTCAAAAAACGATAAAATCTTGTTTTGTCATTCGGTACAGCAAATCAGTTAAATTTCGAGCTCTCTAGCAAGTCAGAAAGATTTTTAAAATATCGATTTAAGAATTTGTTTTTAACAACAAACAAAACAGGGAAGCCTCATAATAAAACTTTGTAAAAAGTAAAAATAAAGCATACCAAATGTTACATGATTTATACTGCACAGTTACAAAGTTATTTTCTTTCTTATCATCAATTTTCATAACTGATCTAAGTTACTATAATATTTATAAAATAGATATTTTTAGAAATAAAATACACCAAACCCCCACAAATAATTTAATATGCATATTTCATTATGCAAATCGAAAATGCCTTCTTAAATTCAGTATCTCACTTAATTAAGTTTCATCAGTATATATTAATATATTAAGACTTTTTTTCCTTTTATTTCGGCGATATCTTTTACCGAACATTCTTTGGCCTCTTTTTATATTCGCCAAAAATTAACTTTGTGCAAGAGAAATTCCTCAAATTATCATTCTAGAAGAATTCTTCTTCGTTGAGATGGAAAATATTACAGATATGAATGAAATCACGCTTAAAAGATTTAGATAATTAGTTTCGTAATCAGTAAAAGATAATGTGACGTAAGATTTGATCTGGCAAAATGCCAAATTTCTGAATGTGTATTCTTAATTAGACCATCAAACGATAAATACTTCTGTCGCCAAAATCTGTTTACTTTGTAGTTTGAAATGCTAAAAACTTATTCTAGATTTCTGGGAAAGTTTCTATTATTCATCTTAGTAAATGAATGTTTAAACAGCTTTAAGTAATTTAAATAGATATTTTAATATTTTCATGTGCGATATTTTTGTGTTTAAAAATGTCAATCTCTGCATTTCAAACTATTAGACACTGACGTTTAAAACAAAACGCAACAATAAACTAAATACTGTTTATTACATTTCGTTGCGTTTTAGTTTGCTTACAAAGCATACAGATGGTGTTATTTATTTCAAAGGAATTTTTAACCAAAAGTATTATTACAATAATTTCAAGCATTCATTTTAGTACATTAATGTTTAAACAGCAATTACTGATTCAAATAGATTTTTCAATGTTTTCAAGTGTGGTATTTTTGCGTTAAAAATTGTTAATCTCTGCAATTTTTTAAAATCTATTAGACATTAACCTTAAAAACAAAACGTGTTTTCAAACTATAATTAAATAAATTATTTTGCTTTTCTGTGAAATCCGTTAATTATATAAAACTTTCTGTCACACTTCGCTGTGTTTAAGTTTAATTCCAATTCATACTTACCCTGTTATTTATTTTAACGAAATTTTTAACTATTTAAATTAAAGATTGTGTGAATATATGGTATCAGTTTTAACTCTTTAAATGTCCTAATTTTTACCATTTAAAAGTAAATTTCGCACATAAATTAGTAAATTATACAAGATTATTTGTAATGACCGTTTCTAATATGTAGATTGTGCCAAAATGACGATCATAAATTTACTCCTTAATCAAAACCCCTAATTTGTTTTTTTAGATTACCTGTCATAAAAGAAACTAAGAAAATTTACACCTTAAGATCACAGTCGAATCGGTCAAATAGTTCCTGAAAAATCGAATTTTAAAAACACTTTTTAAAAATTCGATTTCTTAGGAACTATTCGGTCGATTTCGCACAGATTTTGTATTTTCCCCACGCAAAATTACTGAAATTTTTTTCCAATTTTATCTTATGGCAGCACTTTAGTATTTTGCTTTGATTCACTAATTGCTTACGTCTCAAACAACGTCGAGGCCCTAACTGAAAATATTTTTTACGAGCCTAACGTAAACTTACGGGCAGTGGCCTTATGTTTTAAGAAAAAAATTTACGGACAGAACTGTATTTTTAAGGATTTTGGCGGGCATAATTTACGGTCAACGAATGGGACAATTTTCACCGTCTCACACGGCAATAATTAGGGTGCTTGGCTAGATTTTTCAAATAAAATTAAGCACCGTTTAAGTACTTTTTAAGCACTTAAAAATATTTTTAATCACTTTCCAAAAAAAATAATAAATTAGGTTGCATGCAGTAATAAAATTGTTTTTTTCTATCGTTTAAAGTTTTTAATTTATAAACATAAAATCTATAAAATCTCAAAAGCATTATCAAAAACTTTACACAATCGTGAAATAATATCTAGTTTCTGATAAAAATTGAAGAGGAAATTGTGAAAATCATGTATTTTTTTTGTAACTTAGAACGACAATCGATGCGGCAAAGGAAAAATCTATTTTTAAAAGATAGAAAATTAAGCACGTTTTGCAAACCCCGAATAAAAAAAGCACCTTTAAGGGCTTTTAAAAAACCTAAATAAAAAATAAGCACTTTTTAAAAACGCTACACACCCTAATAAAGATAAAGCTTTTTAGAGTATTATTTTGTTTTCACTTAAAATTTGTGGAACAATATTGGATACAGTTAATAGTTTCATGAAAGGATAAAGAAAAATTAAATAATAAATAACGAAAGAATAAAGAAAAATTAAATATTAAATAACAAAAGAATAAAGAAAAATAAAATAATAAATAACGAAAGAATAAAGAAAAATTAAATAATAAATAACGAAAGAATAAAGAAACAGCTTATGGTATATTGGTATGCTTTAATGCAAGCCTTTTTTTAGGTAACTCTTAAGTCAATAAAGAATACTTACTTGCGTAGTGAAGTGACGTCACCTTGGGCACTTTCGGAATTTCTTATTCTTGAAGGACTTTTGTCTCCTGCTTTCCGAAGCGATCGCATTGATTGGGATCTGACAACTTCAGAAGGTGATAAAGTAACTCTATTGCTCAAAGGACTCCTTCCTGGCAGATGACCGTTTGCATAACGACAGGTATCTCTTGGACTCCGACTCAATACTGTTGGATCAAGAGTTGGACTCCTACTGATACTAGCAGTAATCCTGTTGGGATTCAAAACCTTATAATCCATTGTCGGACTTCGGCGCATCAACATTTCATGCCTGAGGCAACGTCCAGGCTCCAAATTGCAGTAAGAAGCCCCGGGGTATTTTATTCGATTCAGAGACTTGGAACTACTGACTGGACTAGACTTTGGAAGCTGAGAAGATGTTCTGTTTTGGTATTTGGTATCGCTGGCAGCGTTGATGTCTTTTGTGGTGCATTTTGTAAGCGGTAGATCAAAAGTAGGACTTCTGTTTATGGTCCGAGATTCGGTATTTTTCTTGGATCTTAGAGCAGTGGAATCCATGGTTGGACTTTTGACAAGTTTAGTTGCACTATTGTTTCTAGGTTTCGGTTGGAGAGTCACTGGTGACTCTGTCAGGCGTGAGTACCCTGACGAGTCTCTTGAAAATGGAGGAAGTAGCAATGAAAAATCCGTGGTCCACCTTTTCTCTTTGGGTGTTAATCCAACATAGCTGAAATCAGATCTGCTTCTCGGTATTGGTGACTTCGAAGAAGGTTTCATGGATTCTTGTTGGGGAATTGAAGACATAGTTGAGTGATATGCTGGTTCGAATACTAAATATATTTCTAGAATCGTTGTAAGGCTTAATAAGAGACTTTCCACCTACTACTCATAATCAGGTTTTTATACAAACAATTCAAATAATCACCAGAATTTCTTCAGATAGCTCGAGTTTCAAAAATATACATTTCTAAAATGAGTGGTAAAGTATTAAAGCATCGAACGCGTTCGTAAAATAATTTACATATCTATATTTTAAAAAAGACTCTTGAAGTATAGAAAATTTATGTTTTATTGCTAGTTTTGTCCAGAATGCATTTTTCGGTATGAAATCTAGTCTCTGATCACTATTTGTTCTTGTATTGATTTGTTAATTTTCAGGTGGCTATCGCATCGTAAGATTGATGATAGTTCTGTTGTCCGACTCAGCTTGTTGCTGCATATTTCAAAAACTGTTGGAAAACTTCTCAAAACTGTGTCATATTGTAAATTTTATAACTGTTTTGGAATGCTTCATTTTTAAGGCCCATTAATTCTGCAACAAATTTCTTTTCTCCCATGTATGAAGATCTTCAAGTTCTGCAAAAATTAATAAATATTGTTATTATTGCAAGTAAAACGCTTTATCGAAAATTCAACTATGAAATAATATGAAAAGTTCGTATTGATAAATTGATAACATTAACCTGATTATAAAATTTATTTAATAAATATGTTTTGATGAAATATAGAGATAATTTTGTGATTAAAAATGATTGAAAATGTAAATGAATAAAATTAAGGCATTTAGTTATTTCAAGTTGGTGGAGAAAAAAAATCACCAAACTAGTATTGACGTCATTAATGTTAAATTATCTGTGGTAATAAGTACTACTGGTACTATGGTAATAGACATTACTGGCATTATGGACCATTGATTGTTAGGCATACCAGACTATTGATTATTAGGCAACGGAGTCTCCAAAATATTTTAACGAGGCAATTTAAAAACAAGATATAATTAACTTTAGTGTCAGAAGATGGAAATTGATGGGACGTATACTAAGAAGGTCAAGAGAGAAATCAAAAACCGTCTCTCTCTCCCGAGCTCCTGATGAGAGGAAAAAGAGAGGAAGACCAAGAATAACATGTCAGCGACCAATACAGGTGGACATGAAAGGAAAATTTAAAGGATAAGAGGAAGATAGATCCAGAGTCAAAGACCTGGAGCTGAATACCTTAGGCTCCAGACGGAGTGAAGATCATACGAAAATAAGTACTTCAGTATCTATATTGGGTACCGATACTTAATGTAAGCACTGTGATAATAGGTTACCCCCAAACAAACAAGTAAAAAGATTAAATAATTTAACAATATTGATTGTAAGTCATACAAAATTCGATCGTTCTGTATAAAAATTCATTATCTTAAGAGAAACGCTGAGAATATTGACAATAAGATTCTTCAATAATTATTTAAAATTAATTTTAAAATTGACATTTCAAAGTGTTTTGATATTTTTCAGTTCTTAATTAACTAAACGATTTTCTTACTACACATTACGTAATTTTAAAGTTGAACTCTAACAATTTCTTGTTAGAGTTCTAAGTCAGAAAACTTTTCTTCTCAAATAACTCCAAGGAAGTTAAAAATAAGGTCGGACTTTTCAAAGAGTCCTTCCACCAAGATGAAACAAATGAATAAATCAAAACAGAATCATTTTTTAATAATTAAGGACGAAAACATTTGCATTTGAAATTCGACAATGATCTTGATGTTAATGGTATAGGTGTATTCGTATTTAAAAGTGGGAGATTCTTATTTTAAAAAGGAGTATTCTTATTTTATTCATTGTTAAAAGAGCATAAATCAGGGTTAATTTTTACTATTAATTTCAGTTTTATAGCTGTAAAAGTTTCAGCTGTTTACTAACAAAGTGACGCCTAAGCATATGAATTTACTAACATATTCATTATTCTGTAAAGATCACGGATCTAATTTTAATCCAAAGTATAGATTACTTTAAAATAAATAAATAAAAAAAATAAATAAAATAAATAAATGATAAGTAATAATACAGTGGTTTTTTAGAAAATTACAGGTATTATTAATTTTAAGACAGCAAATCTTGACCACAAGTTAGATTATATGGTTAATGAAAAGCATAATTAATGTAGAATCTGATTTTGGAAAGTGCACAATTTCTCTAGAAAAAAAAACTTATTTCAGTGTGATTTACCTACACTTCATTGATTTTCCAATTGTTTAAATTGATGTCATGCATTTAAATTTCGAAAATTTCAGTGATTGAAGATAACATGAGACAATCCTTGAGTGTTTTTGAAAAAGAAAAACGTCCCAAATGCATTTGGCTGCAAACAACCTTAAAGAAACCTTTATTTTGACATTAAATAAAAACAAGAGTGCGAACGCATTGACACGAACAGTGAGCGCTGAGAGTTTATGGTTTCTAGCTGGAAGCTTACGGATAAGAAAAGAAGCAATTTATAATTTATATTACCTATTATTATCGCATAAAGGTTAACGCTAATTACTCGCTAAAATATCACTTGGTTTTTCGAAGCACTTTCGCCAAGGAAAATAAAAAAGCTACAGTTTAATTGCCTTACATTTGAATCAGATTAATAATTTTAAACTATATGAACCATCTTTGCGTAAAGAATTACCTGGATTTTGGAACAGAAAACTTAAATATTTTAAACGGTATTAATTTTTTTTTTAAAAATCTCCATTCAGAAATTTTATAACCTTGATGAAAATTATTAAAATCACTTAATCTTTCTCAGTTTTTGCAAATTTTTATGAGCCCAGATAATGCAGCATTGGAGTAAGTTTTCGAATATTTAAAACTTAAAATGAGGTCACAAACTTTTTTCATTTTCATATATTTGTGGCTTTTCTCCACTTTGACTTTTTTCTCCATTCTGAGAATAAGCATAAAGAGTGATGGCTACAGATGGTTAAAATCTATCTAACAGTCATGAGTAACTGTTGAAAACTCCCTGAAATTTTGAAAATATCACATTATTCGTAAAATCTTATCATTTCATATGATGATCAACTGTTGCAAACTCCCAGAAATTTTGAAAATATTATATTATTTGCAAAATCTTATTTCATATGACGATCAACTGTTGCAAACTCCTAGAAATTTTGAAAATATCATATTATTTGCAAAATCTTATGATTTCATATGACGATCAACTGTTGCAAACTCCCAGCAATTTTGAAAATATCATATTATTCGCCAATTCTCATCATTTCATATGACGATCAACTGTTGCAAACTCCCAGCAATTTTGAAAATATCATATTATTCGCAAAATCTCATCATTTAATGTGACCTTCGAAAAACATCATATAGTTCTTCAAACATTGACATATCAATCAATAAATCCTTACCTAAGTACAAAATCTATATTTAATGTATTTCTATCATTCGCTATTTTTTAACGATTTACCAATGATGATTAATTACTAATGACGTTCTCAATTGAATTTAACATATGAACTGAACATCTTTAACATTCTGTAAAAAAAATAGCTACGATTCTAAATAATCATAATATAAAACAATTTTTTAAAAATGACATTTAACATCTTACAGAAAAAAAAGCAAAATTTTATTTTTAAGTAACACAAATTTTTTTAAAAAAAAGTAAAATTAAAAAAAACAGCGTAAAATGTCTATTTATACAATATTTGTTAACGTTGTTAAAGCAAAGAACACTCCAAAAATATGAAAATTATAATTTTTATTCGAATTATTTGAAATAACAGTTTTTCATTACTTCTATCACAACTCGTAATTTTTCTTCTCCTTAATAGCTACTCATGATCTAGTTCGCAATTTTTATGGGCTCATAAAGTCTCTCTGAAAGGCTCTAAAAATACATATCAGCCTCAGTAAAAAAAGAGCCTCTTATCACTGAAAGAAAAAAAAATGATAAGTGTTTTCGTCCTGCTCTTCTTTCTAATGGACGTAAAGGAAAGGTGTAGTTTACTATTTTTTTCAGCCATTTAGTTGTTTTCTGAAAAATTCTTCTTTTCGTCAAACCGAGAAAATAGCCAATTCTATTTTCAAATCAAAGGTGAATGGTCTTTTGTAACTTAAGGCTTATTGTTAACTGCTTTCGTTTCAACATGTAATAAAATAAACTAAAATGGATTTTTATGACGAAAGAAAAGAACTAAGGAGTAATCTATATGTGACATGAAATGGGAAAAGTAAACATTTACTATATTTCAAAAACTAAACAATTTGAGCTGTTTTATTGTTTCCAGTTTCATTTAAATGTTAAAAATTCAGTCTATCTTTGGTTTTTACCAGAATTAAAAAAAAGTGAACAATTTATGACTTTTCAATCCTGAAATTAATGAATGAAAAATTATGATTGAAATTTTTCCCAAATCCTCCGTTATCCTTTTGACGCAGATGGGACCACTGGTTTCCTTTTTGTATATGTATTTTTTTCTGACATTCTAATTAAAAGTAAAAATATATTTGGTATTTTTTAATTATAAAAAAAGCCTAAGAGTTACTAAAAAAATCTGTTAAATAATCGGAATTATTTTTGTACTAAAATACAAAATTCAAAAGAAGTAGTTCCTTTTCATTCCCAATCAAAAGTATATCAATAATTGATTTTAAAAGTCAATTAAATTTAAATTATGTTTATTTTATAACTAAATAATTAGAAATAAGAGCGGATTTGAAAAGTTATTTGTTTGGAAGTGAGCCGTATTTAAAAGATTTTGACTTTAGCATAGTTATTGTTTAATGTGTATTTCATAACCATATATTATTAAAATGCTAAATACAATATTTTTCACTTATTTTGACCAAAATTAATGCAAAATAATGAAAAAAAAGTATGAAAAATGCGTCAAAGGGTTAAGAGAAAATTTTGCCCGAAAATCTACTATTTCTTGAAATTATTATTATCTTTTCACGATTTTCTCGCTTGATTGCAAAGCAACTGAGAAACCCGACTCGTAAAATGGGCTGAATGCTTGATAATTCTTTTTAGGCTGCTGTAGATAATTTTTTTTAGGTTAATCACATATTAAATTTATTTAGTTAATTTTGAAGTAATTCTTAACTGTTAATCCTGCAAACGAACAGTTGTGTTTTAGAAGGTTGTTTTAATTTTATATTCCTTAAACTAAAACTTAATATTAAGCTTAAATAAGTGCATTTTAAATTCTAAAACTAAAAGAATATATTTAAAAAAAGTTAAATATTGTTTCAAAGTGTTGTAGAAGTCTGCATTTTACAAGCATTTTATAAAGTAACAATTTATATACTAAATAAGAAATCGAACGATAAACGGCACAATTATTTAACAAGTATCTTCTAACTATATTTGCTTTCGTACATTTGGTGAATTTCTGCAATTTTTTATACATTTTATACCAAAATGAACCTTTTTAATAATTTTTGCAACTGCAAGTAAAGCACGGTGACAATTTAATTTAAAATATGCATATGTGTTTTCATTACAAATACTAATCTTTATTTTATAAAAAATAATAGGTTAAAGGCCTTTTGTATTAATTAATAGTAATTAATTAAAAA